ACTGGAGGTACCTGTAACAGGCACATACTTTTTTTTTCTTTTTTCTTTTTTTTTGGGGGGGGGTGTGGTGTGGGGGATTTTTGGAAGTTGATACCCGCACTTGCGTTGTATACAAATACAACGCACCCCGTGCGAAAGAAATCAGAAAACAGAATGTCCCTGCCGTAAAAAAAAAACATTGTTATTCTCGTTTTTTTTGTTTCTCAGATTTGTTTGTAAATTTCAACATGACCCTCGAGCAAAAGCTGTTTGTATCTAGGAAGATTTCCATGACCGGCCGGGGTCTTACACCTGGGATACCCGGGGAAGGATTAAAAAAATAGAAAAACAAATTTTGGCGGTGGGGTTCTCCACGCTCTTGGAGAGGAGCCCAAATCTGGGCTCTTTCCTTTTTTTGAGTGTTGGCTTTAAAGGGGGGCAAGGGGGGTATAAATTATTTTTGAAGGGGCTAAAGGGGTTTAAAGGGGGGTGCCTTGGTGTGATTCGGTTATTTTCTTTTTTATCTTTGGTTCCGTGAGGAATTCTGATGTGAAACGGTTTTCACCTTTGCAGTAGCAGATGCAGATCCCAGGCCTCGATCCCTAGACCTTGTCCTCCCCCGTGTACAGTACCAAGCCGACCCCTGTGTGTTTGAACCCGTGACCTGTGACTTGGTAGTTGGCTGTTGTCTGTCGTAGGTCTGTGTAGTTGTCGGGTTTTGAACCATAGGTCTGTCAAGTAGGGGCCATAGCTGTGTGGAGGTCGTAGTTGCTACAGTCCTGAAAGATCAAGGTCATAGCTGCTACAGTCCCGAAATGCCAAGTCTACAGAAGGCCCGGAAGTGGCCTTTCGAGAGTCGCCAGAGTCAGGCCAGAGGCAAGTGGGCAAGTGGGCAGTCCAACCTCGCCTAGTCAGCGGTACCCAGTCCCAGTCGCACTTTGTCCAGTCAGCAAGTACCATGTGGGACTGTGTGCACCCTAGGCCCGGTGGAAAGGAGCAGACCAGCGACCAACCAAAGTATAAATCAAGAGGCAGTGTCCAGTTATTTCATTGATTCAGACTGTGAGCCATGCGGAAGTACTGCCTGAGCGACTTGTGCAAGGAGGTCTGCAGGTGCCCGAGGAAGAAGTGGGCCAAAAGGGAGACGAAGCGGCCATAGCCGCTAGTTAGTGGTGGAGGTAGATCACAGCATGTATGTGAGTGAGTTATGTGAAGGGTGAAAGCGCATGTGGGACATCCAGGGAGATCCAGAGTAGCGTGCATGTGAACAGTAGTTGAGGATACAGTGTCGGAAGGGTGATGTGAGGGCGCACAGGCGCCATAGCCATTTTGAAGTAATCTGAATGTGAACCGTGTTCTTGTCCGTGATATCTCTGAGTTTTGTGTGGGCGCCTGGAGCCAGGGTGATTGCCATCTGTTTTCGTGCATGCTGGATAAGGAAGAAAACGAGTCTGATTGCAGATGCGACCCTCAGCCAAAAGTTGGTTGTATTGCAATTCTACACAACATATCTTCTTCCAGATTTTTTTGGATTTCTGTGTTTTTTTTTTTTTTTTTTGGCACTGGGGCAGCGCGGTACCCTGCCCAGGGGTCATGCCCGGCTGGTCACCCGGGTGTGTTTCCGGGCACAACTTGGGTGCCAGGGCGTCCGGGAAACGGCCTAGGTTTGCATTGCAATGTTCTACAACTTTTTTTCCGGAATTTTCAATTTTCTGATTTTTTTAAAAATTCGAGATTTCCAAAAATTTGAATACAACGTACGTAGTACATACGTTATAGTCGATGGTACGTTCTATTCGGAAAAAAATCAGCAATTTCTTAGGACCCAATTTTCAAAGGTAAGTTGAATAGAACATATGTACATTTTTTTTGGGTTAACACAGCAGGAGAAGAGGCAAACCAAATCTCCGAAATACCATGGCACAAGCTCAAAACAATACACCCAGTCAAGGTGAGAGGTCTCCAATGGCTGATAGCATATGGCGCCCTGCCAGTCAACCACTGGTTACACATCAGGAGAAGGAAAAGAGACCCAAACTGTTCGGATAGATGCGTAGTTTGCTCAGACCAAGAACAAGAAGACTTACTACACTGTCTAATCAGATATACACCTGCAACAGAACTTGCGTAGTTTGCTCAGACCAAGAACAAGAAGACTTACTACACTGTCTAATCAGATATACACCTGCAACAGAACTATGTGCAAGGGCCTCTCAGTTATGGGACCGCCTCTTCTGATCCCCCTTCCCTGATCACCACATTCAGCTCCTCTTCTGGACTAACATCCCTTCCCAGTTGAGGAAGCCAGAAAAACAGTCGTTCGGTCCAATCCGTAAAACTCTTCTATTGGTCCTATGGAAGGAAAGATGCAGCACACTCGATAAAGCCTGGGCCGCAACAAAGACAAAAATGATGGAAGCAGATCTCTTATGCAGATGGTGAAGGGTTAAGGAGAGGATACAGAACTTCCCAGACACAAGTCAGATACACCTGACAGTTCAAGATAATCTGGCTAGCCTAGGACAGAGTGGCCGACATCAACCACATGCGGATGAGATACAAGGACGCATAATTCAGAGATTCCAGTTTGGAGACAGAACTCTCAGACAGAGAGGCCCCAGGGACCTACAAATTCAGGACGACCTGAAGGAAGGAAAAATTCCCTCCTATTATTCTTGTGTATAGTCAGATCTGACAGGTCCACGCAAGGAACCTGAGGGGAATACATGAGAAAGGGGCAAGCTGAAAGTCAATCCTCCTGCAACGGGGATAATAAATGCTGATCAGGGATCCTTCAGCCGGGCAGAAGGATGCGTGAGTGTATAAACGCCGTATCCGAGGGCTCTGACTTGCCAAGGGGAATAGGAACCAGACTGAAGCTTCCCAGAGTGGATATGGAGCCAGGGACCATAAGGGCCAGTTTTATCAGGAAAAAAGGGGGGGGGGGAAATTAAAAAAGGAAACGTTGAGAGAAATAAACATTGTATGGCAGGAAAGACTCACCTCCTTCAGATCACCCAGAGGCCAGAGGCAAACAGAGACATCCTCCATGGGAAGCATCTTTCCCCCCCTCTTCGACTTCATTGGATCTGACCTAACTCCCACTCCAAAAGGAGCTGCAACTGCCTTCATATGTAGAGACGAATGGTTGGTCGTAATTTTTACCTGTGAATAGAAATATCAAGCTCATCAGCCCTCATACACCATAACTTGAGGAAGTTTATGCCATTTGTCACAGGATTCCCTTTTCCACACTATTCAATGCATTCCAGAACAAAATGGCAAATTACTGGATTCGTATATGGATGCATAAGATGGACCTAGAGTGCACTCACAACCCATATGAGACAAGAAGGAAGACGGTCAAAAAGAATGGAAAGGCAGACTGAAACCTTTCTGTTTTTACAAATTTTTTTCTTGTTTATCCTTTTTCCTCCTCCTGCTGTTGACATAGCTCCATCAAGAGATGACACCATCCAAACACACACGTGTGCATGCGCGCGGTGCACACACACACACACACACACACACACACACACACACACACAAACACACACACAGAGGGGGAGAGGCTAACACAGCAAGGCAGTGTCATGTGAATCGCCGTCATCCTTGTGCTCATCATCTTCACCACCATCGCCAATGCCAATACAACGGACTGCTAGACATACACAGCATGTGTGACATGCCTTGTTCAAATGCTCACATACTCACATTGCACGTCATTTTGTGCACAGCTTCCCAAAACAATCCCCCATGCCAATCCTGACCAGCATCACGTAGCCATCAACTGCATGTTGGTCAGCACCATAATGAACACAGTTAGCACCATCAGGAGCACTTCTGATCCCTGTGATCAGAAAAACAGCATCACCGTACCACTGCTTCATTGACAGCATCACCGTACCACTGCTTCCTGTCAATGATCATGTTCCTGTGCACTGGGCCCTAACACTCTTGTTCCTACTCCTACTCCTGTCTCTTCTGCCCCTAGTCATCATCATCATCACCATCATTGTCGTCATTTTCGTCATCATTATCACCATCACCACTATCATCAGCATCAAAAAAGCCATCATCAGGGTCATCTTCTTCATCCTGCTTTCAGTCGTCATAATCATAACCATCACACAGATTGTTTGCACGATTAACATTGTTTGTTGCCTCCAGGCAACACAATATAAAAAGATGAGGGACATGATATGGGCAATAACATCCAGAGGTTTCCCCCCGACACAGCTGCTCACTTCACTTACCGACAGACGGGAAGAAGATCCCAGCGTTACGACATCCCCATTTGACAACGCATGAGGTTGGCCTCTCATCCGATTTTGAGCATGGATGGAATGGCCGTTGATTTGAGTCCCATTCAAGCTCCCCATGTCGGTGATCTGCCAGGTACCGCTCTGCAAGACGAACAACAGAGATGAAAAATCAAACTGCTGCTGATGGAAAGCTATAGCTACAGGCAGATCGAACATCAGAATGCTGCGTGCGGTTCAGAATGCTGCGTACAGAAACCCATCCACTTTCAGATGTTTCAGAAGAAGCCGGTAAGCACCAATAGAATTTACAAAACAGAAGTGTGTGATGAACACAACTCCAGAAGCTCACACCATCACCCTCATGCAAGTGCTCTCAAAGCTTCTCCCAACGAACAGAGTAAGTGACAACCCAGCATAAAAAGCAATAACACCACAAATCCAGACCATGAGGAGGGACAGAGGGAGAGAATAACTCAAGGGTGACATCAATAAATACAATGTTTGTCACTTCTCCCCTCTTCAAACCTCCACGTTCTTCTTCTCCACAGGTGCCAGCTCAGAATGCCATTACGCTATCAACTACAGCTGGTTGCATACTTCTCCCTCAAACACCACTTCACCAAGCACTATTCCTCTCTCCAAGTCCAAATACTCTGGCCTTACCACGCCAGGGCAATCAAACCGACACCACAGATGACAATTCTGGCCTCCAGGAGCAATGCGCTGTCTTCCACTCCAGTCCCAATCACCAGCATATAAAGTTACTCTCCTCTCTCACCTTAGCTTATGGGCTCTCTCTCTCTCTCTCTCTCTCTCTCTCTCTCTCTCTCTCTCTCTCTCTCTCTCTCTCTCTCTCTCTCTCTCTCGGATCGCTTTCCCCTTTGGATGCCCCTTCGACCTTCATCTCTCTCTCTCTCTCTCTCTCTCTCTCTGATAGCTTTCCCCTTTGGATACCACTTCGACCTTCCATCTTCTTCGGCCAACTAAGGTCCTAGGCATGGCACCCTGCGCCATAGTATACTCTGCTAAGGCCGATCAAGTCACACTCAAGGTAGCTGCACAAGCAACCAGCAGTGCTTCCGCGGCAGTTCAAATGAAGAAGTGTTTGTTTATGGCACTGTGCTACCCTTTGTACAAGCTGCAATTGACAATCTTGGATTCCTTTGGACCCATAGCTCCCTGGCCTGTCGGCCACAATTGTTTTGACGGAGCCACATTTCTCCAGACTTTCCTTAGAGTGCTGCTAGACTGAGGCTTTTTCTGTCGGCAACCCAACTTCCTACTGAACCCTACAGTTGTGTTTCACCGTAAGGGCTACTGGTTGGCTATGCGCTACAGTGGAACTTCTAGGACCTGGAACTCAGGGCAGAAAGCGTGAAATCCTTTCACTTCTGCCAGCCTAATTTCAATGTCCCCGTAGAAAGATAGGACTTTCCTCGGCGGTTTGCAATATGTATGCCTCTCTCAGCCCTCTTGTAGTATGAGACTGTCATGAGCCATCTCTCACAGGTCATTCCTAGTGTCCCACTTGTCAACCTCGGGTACCTGATACTGGAAGCAGACCTGATACTGTGGCTGTGGTCTTCCCCTTCTCCCAGACCAATAGGCATCTCCATCATGATCCTGTCTATGCCATATTGGTCATCCATGTCAGGGGGGATCATAGATGTGCATGATGGGAATGATTTTCTGCCACTCACAGCAGCAACATGGATGCGTGAAAAACAGGATATGTGTGTGGGTGAGGAGATACATCGACAGCATAGGACTGACCATCTGCATCTCCTATTGCATCAATCACCTCCCATGGTCCTCTGTGCGCAGGTAGTAGTAGTTTTGATTCCTTCCTCTGGCAGAAGCTCCTTAGATTTTACCCTGACAAAATCACCAACACCAAACCTGGATGGTCTTCTATGTTTGTTGGCTTGCTCTATCATCATTGTGCATCAGATGTTTTCTGCAGCTTTTTTAACGTCCTTCACATACTTTAACACTTTCTTTCCGGTCCTGGGCCGTGAGCGTTGAATCTGATCAGGATTCAAGCAGTCAATCAGCCTTCTTGGTTTCCAACCCTTCTGCAGTTCGTTTGGGGTCTGCCTTGTAGACAAGTGTATAGAATTGTTAGACCCACTACTTAACACTTTTTTCCGGTCCTGGGCAGTGAGCGTTAAATCTGATCAGGATTCAAGCAGTCAATCGGCCTTCTTGGTTTCCAACCCTTCCGCAGTTCGTTTGGGGTCCGCCTTGTCGACAACTGCATAGAACTGTTAGACCCACTAGTTACCTCAGGTACATGTTGGTCCCAACCGATTTGATTTAGTCTAATGCACACTAGTAGAGTCGGATGTAACAGCTAATCCATCTGTTCTCTTCATCAGTTAGTCTCAGGGTGCCTACCGGATGACACAGTCAGTCTGGACCATGGTAACCCCGGACCCGGACACCGGACACTTCCGGACTGTCTTCCAGACCAGTGTCTGGACC